GAGCCACGGAGCCCAGCTTTTTTTTTTAGAGACAGGGTCTCGCTCTGTCACTCAGTCTGGAGGGCAGTGGCATGATCACTGCTCTCCAAAGCCTTGACCTCCTGGGCTCAGGCAATCCTTCTGCCTCAGCCTCCCATGTAGCTGGGACTACAGGCATTCACCACCAAGCCTGGCCGATTTTTAAATTTCCTCTGTAGAGATGAAGTCTCACTCTGTTGCCTGAGCTGGTCTCCCATTCCTGGGCTCAGGCAATCCTCCTGCCTAGCCTCCCAAAGTTATAGGATTACAGGAGTGAGACAATGCATCTGACCCAGTTTCTTTCTCTTTTTTTTCTTTTTTGAGAGGATCACAAAACAGCAATTTTTCCACTCCACTCTGTCACCAAGGCTAGAGTGCAGTGGCACAATCACAGCTCACCACAACCTTGATCTCCTGGGCTCAGGAGATCCGGATTCCACCTCAGCCTCTGGGACTTCAGGCATGAACCACTATGCCTGGCTAATTTAAAGAAATTTTTTGTAGAGATGAGGTCTTGCTATGTTACCCGGACTGGTCTTGAACTCCTGGGCTCAAACAATTCTCCCACCTCGGCCTCCCAAAGTGCTGGGATGACAGGTGTGAGCCACCATGCCTGGCCCCAGATCCTTTATACCTTGCAACTCTGCAATACTATGAGCAGAGCTTCTCAGTGCTTCTCAGAGCTCAGCACTCAGTATCGACATGAGCACTTGAGCGGCCTTATTAACTGCAGTCCTGAGTCAGGGCCTGCAAGGGCCTGGAGCTCTGCATTTTTTTTTTTTTTTTTAATTCCTCATTTAAAAATTTTCTTTTTTTTTTTTTTGAGTTGGAGTCTCACTCTGTCGCCCAGACTGGAGTGCAGTGGCCGCTCCCGGCCACCGCAGCCTCGACCTATTGGACTCTGGCGATCCTTCCGCCTCAGCCTTCCAAGTAGCTGGAACTACAGGCGTGCACTACCATGCCCAGCTGATTTTTTGATTTATTGTAGAGATGAGTTCTCACCAAGTTGCCCAGGCGGATCTTGAATTCGTGGGCTCAGGCAATCTAGTCACCTTAGCCTCCCAAAGGCACGGGATTACAGGCTGAGCCACCGAGCCCGGCTAGTTTTTAAATTTTTTGAGTTGGAGTCTCACTCTATCACCCAGGCTGGAGTGCAATGGCACGTTCACGGCCATCCTGGCAATGACCTGCTGGGCTCAGGTGATCCTTCCGCCTCAGCCTTCCAAGTAGCCAGAACTACAGGCATGTGCTACCGTGCCCGGCTAAGTTTTTGATTTATTGTAGAGACAAGGTCTCACCAAGTTGCCCAGGCTGGTCTTGAACTCCTGGGCTCAGGCAATCCTCTTGCCTTGGCCTCCCAAAGTGCTGGGATTACAGGCTTGAGCCACCGCTCCCGTCCAGGGCTCTGCATTTCTAGCTAGCTCCTGGGCAATGCTGCTGGCCCTTGGAGCACATTTCTTTTTCTTTTATTTTTTTTTTTGAGTTGGAGTCTCACTGTCACTCAGGTTGGAGTGCAGTGGCACAACCACTACAGCCTTGACCTGCTGGGCTCAGGCGGTCCTTCTGCCCCAGCCTTCCAAGTAGCTGGAACCCTAGGAGTGTGCCACCAAGCCCAGCTAATTTTTTGATTTATTAGAGAGACAAGGTCTCACCAAATTGCCCAGGTTGGTCTCAAACCCTTGGACTCAGGCAGTCCTGTCACCTCTACCTCCCCAAGGGCTAGGATTACAGGCATGAGCCACCGCTTCCATCCAGAGCACATTTCTTATGCTGGGTGCCCACATGACAAGGTGGCTTTACATGAATGGGCTGACTGTGTCATCCCCACAGATATGTCTAGCCCTAGAGAGGCAGAGAGGTCTAGCGGCCACCAGAAAGAGGGACCTGTCACTTCGGCTTACAGCCCAGAGCCTAGTGACTTGGCCACTTTGAGATGCAAGAAGGTTGGGAGGCGTGGAACCACCCTCCTAATGGCCATGTGTCCCCCTAACTTAAGAGGGTTCTGAAGACACAGAGCAGAGAGGATTCTGGGGGATACTTGGTCTCTGCCATAGGCTCTTGTGTGAGCTGTGTGAAGGGGCAAGCCCTTCTTCTCCAAAAACTGCCTGGGTGGGGATGAGGTGCGTGTCACTTACCCACTGGGCAGGTAAGTGAGGGTGGGCCAGGTGGTGAGGGCCAAAGGACAGGGATATAGGGAGTATGTGTGTGGTGTGTGGTGTGTGTATGTGTGAATATGTGTGTGAGTGTGTAGAAACAAGGAAAGTTTGCAGAGCCATGGTGACACCAGGTGCCATGTCACTGAGGAGGACATCACAGACTAGGGTTCCACTAGCTACATATTTTTTATTTAAAAAAAAAAAGATGGAAGGCTGAGGTGGAAGGATCGCCGGAGCCCAACAGGTCGAGGCTGCGGTGGCCGGGAGCGGCCACTGCACTCCAGTCTGGACGACAGAGTGAGACTCCAACTCAAAAAAAAAAAAAAAGAAAAGCAAAAAAAAAAAACCCAAAAAAAAAAAAAAGAAATCTGATAAAACCTACAGCACCAGTATTCCCAGGCAGACTCCCATCCAAGTACTAACCAGGCCCAACCCTGCTTAGCTGCCAAGATCAGATGAGACCGGGTGCGTTCAAGGTGGTCTGACCATAGACTACATTTTGTTTTATTATTATTTTTATTTTGATCACCCTACAAGTGGCACCAAGGCAGAAGGCTTTGGGGACAACCAGAACAAAGACTGCTATTTTTTTTCTTTAGTCAAGTCTCACACTGTCACAGGCTGGAGTGCAGTGGCACGCTCACCGCCATTGCAGCCTTGACCTGCTGGGCTCAGGCAGTCCTTCTGCCTCAGCCTCCTGAGTAGCTGGGACTACAGGCACATGCCATCATGCCCAGCTAATGTGCTTATTGTAGAGACAAAGTCTTACCAAGTTGCCTGGACTGATCTCGAATACCTGGGCTCAGGCAATCCTCTCTCCTCTGCCTCCCAGAGTGCTAGGATTACAGGTGTGAGCTACTGCACTTGGCCACAAAGACTTCCTGATAATCAGGGAATCAAGCAAGATCATGGTGCCTGTGGGTGAGAGAGAATGGGAGTAAAATTCAGGGCACGGGAACTGGTGGACTGTTCTGGAATGGAGTGTCATTTATGTTTATTTCTTTTGAACTGAAGTCTCACTGTCACCCAGGTTGGAGTGCAGTGGCACGCTCACGACCAGCCCAGTGTCAACCCGGTGGGCTTTGGTGCTTTGCGTGCTACCACGCCCGGCTAAATTTTGATTTATTGTAGAGATGAGGTCTTGCCAAGTTGCCTGGGTTGGTCTTGAACCCACAGGCTCAGGCAATCCACTCGCCTTGGCCTCCCAAAGCCTGGGAGTACAGGCTTGAGCCACTGTGCCCGGCCTAGAGTGCCATTTTAGCAGGGGCTATTACAGTTAGCCATGAGGACCCACAGATCCTACAGAATAGAGGACATGGGCTGGGTGTGGCCTCATTCTCTAGAACCTTCCTGAAATATCCTGTGTCTGGCTTGGGAGATAGAAAGGCTGACAGGAGAGGGAGGGAAAGAAACCTGGAGCTGGAAAACTGGGATCCTCCAGAGGCTCAAAAATGCCCCTGACTGCTGCCCCTCTTCTTGCCAGGCAACCATTGGCCTGATACGGAATCTGGCCCTGTGCCCAGCCAACCACGCCTCGCTGCAGGAGGCCGCCGTCATCCCTCGCCTTGTGCAGCTGCTGGTCAAGGCCCACCAGGATGCCCAGCGCCACGTGGCAGCAGGCACACAGCAGCCCTACACGGTGAGGAGCCGGGGTGCTGCAGCAGTCCTCCCAGAAACTGGGTGCTGTGTGTGTGTGCACGTGTGTGTACATGTGTGAGTGGATATGTACACACGCATATGTGTGAATGTGTACATGCATGTACACACGTATGTGGATGTGAATGGGGAGGTGGGTTGGATGGATGCCAGTGGCCTTTGCCAGGGTGTCGTGGTAGGCGGGGCGGTGGCCACGCCCCCAGGCCACCCGTTCTCATGCCTTGCCTCACGCCTTGCTAGGATGGTGTGAGGATGGAGGAGATTGTGGAGGGCTGCACTGGGGCCCTGCATATCCTCGCTCGGGACCCCATGAACCGCATGGAGATCTTCCGGCTCAACACCATCCCCCTGTTTGTGCAGGTGTGTCTGGGGCCGGGGCTGGGGAGGGTCTGCCCACTGCTCCTTCAGCAATGTTGGAGGAAGTGGCCACACTGGGAATGTCATGTGCAAAGCCCTGGGTGGGGATGGCTTTCCGAGCTCCAGAGCTGGGAGGGGGATCAAAGATGGAAAAATATGTTGAGATTCAACCACATTAACATTAAAACCAGCCAGGCTCGGTGGCTCAGCCTGTAACCCTGCACTTTGGGAGGCTGAGGTGCATGGATTGCCTGAGCCCATGGGTTCGAGACCCGCCTGGGCAACCTGGGGAGACCTTATCTCTTCAATAAATCAAAAAATTAGCCGGGCGTGGTAGTGTGTGCTTGTAGTTCCGGCTACTTGGAAGGCTGAGGCGGAAGGATCACCAGAGCCCAGCAGGTCGAGGCTGTGGTGGCCAGGAGCGTGCCACTGCACTTCAGTCTGGGCGACAGAGTGAGGCTCCAACTCAAAAAAAAAAAAAAGCACTAAAACCATCTGTATGTCAGAAAAACAAAAAGTGTTAAAAAGTAGCCAGCGGACTGGACGTGGTGGCTCACGCCTATAATCCCAGCACTTTGGGAGGCTGAGGCGGGAGGGTTGCTTGAGGCCAGGAGTTTGAGACAAGTCTAGGCAACATAGCAAGACCTCATCTCTACAAAAAGTCGAAAAGATAGCCGGGCATGCATGTGTCTAGTCCCAGCTACTCAGGAGGCTGAGCCTGAAGGATCTCCTGAGCCCAGGAGGTCGAGGCTGCAGTGAACTGTGATCGTGCCACTGCTCTCCAGCCTGGGCAACAAAGTGAGACCCTGTCTAAAAACAAAAATACTACATCCAGTAGTTAGATGTGGGTCAAAGTAGTTCCAGGCGACTGAGAATCAGACAGTGCTTTACCCAGGGGTCTAAGGAGATGGCATCCCCATTGGAGTCCGCTTTCCACTTCAGATGGGCACAGGGTCAAAGTGGGCGGGGCTGTGGGGGTGTGCTGCCAGCCTGCCTCCCCCTCCCCCGCCCGCTGGGTCCCCTCCCCACCAGCTCCTGTACTCATCCATGGAGAACATCCAGCGTGTGGCTGCTGGCGTGCTGTGCGAGCTGGCCCAGGACAAGGAGGCAGCTGATGCCATTGATGCGGAGGGGGCCTCGGCCCCACTCATGGAGCTGCTGCACTCCCGCAATGAGGGCACTGGTGAGCAGGGGATGGGCGGAGGCCAGGCCCTGCTCCTCCAGCCACAGTGGGGGCTGGTGTCTGATGGTGGAGGTAGACATCTGACAGTGGAGGCAAGCATCTGACTGTAGAAGCATGTGTCCAGTGGTGGGAACAGGTGTCTGACAGCGGAAGCAGGTGTCTGACGGTGCTGGTAGGCATCTGATGCGGTCTCTCCTTTCCTCTCTGCCCAGCCACCTACGCTGCTGCTGTCCTGTTCCGCATCTCCGAGGACAAAAACCCAGACTACCGGAAGCGCGTGTCTGTGGAGCTCACCAACTCCCTCTTCAAGCACGACCCGGCTGCCTGGGAGGCTGTAAGTATCCTAGGTTGGATGGCAACATATGGTTGTGCAAAGTTGCACACTGCACAATGGCATAATTTTAGGGGGGCTCTTCCCATACTGTTGACTTCATAGTTTTTTAAAAATTATTTTTATTTTATTTTATTTTATTTTTAGTCTGAATCTCATTCTGTCACTCAGGCCGAAGTACAATGGCATGCTCATGGCCACCGCACCCTCGACCTGCTGGGCTCCGGCGATCCTTCCGCCTCAGCCTTCCGAGTAGCCGGAACTATAGGCGTGTGTTACCACACCTAGCTAATTTTTTTGATTTATTGTAGAGATGAGGTCTCGCCAAGTTGCCTGGGCGGTCTCGAATCTGCAGGCTCAGGCAATCCACTCACCTCAGCCTCCCAAAGTGCTGGGATTACAGGCTGAGCCACCTACTTTTAATTTTTTTGAGACATGGATTCTCTCTGTCACCCAGGCTGGAGTATAATGCCATAATCATAGCTCACTGCAGCCTCAACCTCCCGGGTTCAAGCAATCCTCCTGCCTCAGCCTCCCAAGGAGCTGAACTACAGGCATGCACCATCATGCCTGGCTCATTTTATTTTATTTTATTTATTTTTATTTTTATTTTTTTGAGTTGGAGTCTCACTCTGTTGCCCAGACTGGAGTGCAGTGGCTGCTCCTGGCCACCGCAGTCTTGACCTGCTGGGCCCTGGCGATCCTTCTGCCTCAGCCTTCCAAGTAGCTGGAATTACAGGCACACGCTACCCTGCTTGGCTGATTTTTTGATTTATTGTAGAGATGAGGTCTCGCCTGCCCAGGCGGGTCTTGAGCTCGCGGGCTCAGGCAATCCACTCACCTCAGCCTCCCAAAGGCGCGGGATTACAGGCTGAGCCACCGGACCTGGCTCATTTTAAAATATTTGTAGAGACAAGGTCTCACTGTAGTTCTCTGGCTGGTTTCAAACTCCTGGCCTGAAGCGATCCTCCTAACAGCCTCCTAAAGTGCTGGAATTACAGCGTGAATCACCACGCCCAGCCAGAAGCTGCACTTTCAGACTTTCCCCACTGTTTCTCTCTTCCTCAGGCCCAGAGCATGATCCCAATCAACGAGCCCTATGCGGATGGTAAGTGTGTTCAGGGCTTTTAGGACCCTGGGGAACCTGGGGAACCTGGGCCGTGTGTGTGTGTGTGTGTGTGTGTGTATGATGGGGCGACATCATGTCTCCAGGGCCTGAGGACCTCTGTCTGGCACCCACGTGTGCCCCTGTCTAGACTCCCTGGCATGGGGGCTGGGAGTGGAGGTCAGGCCTGCCCCAGGTGGGCAGGGGCTAGGAGATGGCCAAGGGCTATCCAGAGGGCCCTGGCAGCAGACTCCTAGCCTGAGCCCCCCTTCTCGTCCCCAGACATGGACGCCACCTACCGCCCCATGTACTCCAGCGATGTGCCCCTGGACCCCATGGAAATGCACATAGACATGGACGGGGACTACCCCATGGACACCTACAGTGATGGCCTCAGGCCCCCCTATCCCACCGCGGATCACATGCTGGCCTAGGCGCTCCGCTCCGGTACGGCGCCCCCTCTCAGCTCCTCTGATCGAAGCCCTCCCATTTCCCCTGGCTCCTTTTGGGGGGCCCTTTGCTTCTGAGCTTCCCCAAACACCGGGTGTCCTGGCCCGCCTCGTGTTTTTGCTCGGGCTGGGGAGTCCTGCCCCCGCGGACCCTTCCTGCTGGGGGTGATGGCCGGTGACCTGGGAGTAGCTGCTCTTCTGGGGATGCAGGTCCAGCTGAGCCGCTGACACCCCTGTCTGCCCGCAGGTGCGGTTCCTCCTCGGAGAGTCTCCAAGCAGGCGATGAGGCGAGACGGAAAAGTGCCTGAGCTGGGGGCGGGGCCGCTACGTCCCGAGCCCCGCCCCCCAGGTCCTCTGCGGGGTCTTTCTTGGGATCATGTGCTCCTGCTTTCTGTCCCCGGCAAGCGTCCAGGGCCCGCCCCCCTCTTCGCCCCCATGGCCCCGCCACTGAAGCTTCAGACCCCAGCGCCCACTCTGTGTCCCCAGCACCCCCGCCCCGCCTGCCCGTCTCCAGCTGCCCGGGCCCCGCAGGTTTGCGGTTACTTCTCTGGGGCTTTTTCTCCCCCAACTCCACTGACCAACTGCCCTGAGCCCCCGGGGTCTTCAGGACTAGGGTCAAGGCCCCAGGCCCTCAAATCCAAAGTTTCTCCTAAGTCCAGGGACTGTCCAGGGCAGCTGGGAGATGGGGGTGAGCCCGGTGCCCCGGCCTCTCCCTCCAGGAAGCTCGGTTAGTTTCATCACCCCCTCCCCGAAGCTCTAGGAACAGCTTCCTCAGCCCCTGTCTCCCCTCACAACTGTCCAGCTAACCTTGAGAAGTGCTCTTGGCTGACCCTCTGGTGTGCGGTGAGGGGCTCTCTCTCCCCCTTCCTGTTTCAGATCCCCGCACCCCCAGGGTGTAGGGGGCGGGGCAGTCCTAGCAGAGAGGTTTTATTATCGCTTTATGTTTTTGGTTATTGGTTTTTTTGTATAGACCAAAGCAAAGCAAATAAAAAGAACACATACCATTCGACGGGCGCCATTTGGGGGAAGGGGAAGGGAGGGGCTCTCTTTGCTGCCTGCACTATTCTTGCTTGGTCCTGGGGAGATAGGTGCCTGTGGGAGCTGGAGTCACCTTAATCATGCTGGTGCTTGTAAGGATGGGAGGGTGAAGAGATAATGGGGTGGGGGTTTTCCCCTTCAGGGATGCCAGACCTTATTCCTCCCTTAAATGGGAACCTCCTTGACCACCTCAGCCTCCAACCCTGCTCCCGGCTAGCTTTCGTGTACATTTGGTGATTGCCCTGTGCTTGATGCTCCCTGCTTGTGGCTTGGCATCCAGGCCTCTGTTGGTCTGCGATGGCCCTGCCCCAGTCCTGCCCACCTTCTCCCATTACCCCCCCACTCTGTCCTCTGTCCTGCCAGTGGCAGCTGGTGTCCTCCACGCTGTGTCTTGTCTCCTGACTTTGCCCATTGCTGGGGCCCAGCTCAGCCCAGCTCAGCCCTGGCTCCGGGAACACCTCTGTGACCGCCATCCTCCCAACCAGGCTAAGCAATCCCCATTCTCTTTTCCATAATGCCCCGTGCATGGCTGTCGTTTCCCCATCACGTTGGTGTATCCTTCAGCTTAGGTGACCGGTCTTTCTAGGGTGGGCTGGTGACAGCAGCTCTCACTGGGCCTGATACTTGCTTTTTACACCAGCTGGGAGGCCACAGCCTCATTCCCAGAGGCTCGCTGGGACACAGTTGTGCTGGGGTCAGAGGCAGGGAGGCCAGTGAGGAGGTGGCTGTAAGGTCCAGGCAGAAGGGGATGAGATGTGGAACTAAGCTCTACTGACCAGAGCTGTGGGGGGAACAGGGGACACAGAGATCACTAGAAGTGCTTTTGTTAAATTTTTGAGTCACGGTCTCACTGTGTTGCCCAGACTGGAATGCAGTGGCACTATCATGGCTCACTGCAGCCTTGACCTTCTAGGTTCAGGCCATCCTTCCACCTCAGCCTCTTGAGTAGCTGGGTCTACAGGTGTACACCACTATGCCCAGCTTTTTTTTTGTAGAGATGAGATTTCACTATGTTGCCCAGGCTGGTATCCAGCTCCTGGGCTCAAGTGATCCCCCCACCTCAGCCTCCCAAAGTGCTAGGATTTACAGGCAGCCACTTTTATATTTTTTATTTTTTTTAGTTGGAGTCTCACGCTGTCATCCTGACTGGAGTGCAGTGCCATACTCATAGCCACCACAACCTCGGCCTGCTGGGCTTAGGCAATCCTGCCTCAGCCTTCCAAGTAGCTGGAACTACAGGCATGCACCATCACACCTAGCTAATTTTTTGATTTACTGTAGAAACGAAGTCTTGCTACAAAGTACTAGTATTACAGACGTGAGCTACCGCGCCTGGCTAGAAACTTTTTTTAAAAAATTTATTTATTGTAGAGATGAACAATACACTTTGTGCTGTGTTCAGGGCCCCAGCAGGAAACCCTCAAATTGTGTAATTTGAGAAGTTAGTAAGGAACCATTTAAAAAGGTGTGGGCAAGTCGGGTTCGGTGGCTCAGCCTGTAATCCTGTGACTTGGGAGGATGAGGTGAATGAATTGCCTGAGCCCGCGGGTTCGAGACCTGCCTGGGCAACTTGGCGAGACCTCATCTCTACAATAAATAAAAAAAATTAGCCGGATGTGGTAGCGCACGCCTGTAGTTCCAGCTACTTGGAAGGCTGAGGCGGAAGGATTTAAAAAAAATAAAGATATGAAGATATGGGCAGGTATAGGAATCCTCAAGGGAGAGGACAGTCCCCTGACAGTCCCCTGAGCAGTCTTGTCGCCTCCGCCCTGCAGCAGGAAGGGGCTGCTTACAAGAGACAGGACCATTTAGATGAGGCTTCCTGACAAGGGAAGACTGTGACCTCACTCCTCCCACCGGTGCTTCCTGTTGGCCAAACCCAAGTGAGGCCAGAGCGCCCATTCATGCCCACTCGTGTCATCTCCCACTGTCCAGGGCAGAGTGCAGGGAAGACCCAGAGAAACCAATGAAGATAACCAGCCTGCTACCAACCCCAACCCCCATTTTACCAGAAGAGGACTTGAGACAGCTTACAAGAAAGGAGAGCTCTCAGCTTCACACAGGCAGGCAGGACAAGGGAAAGGAGGAGGCCGCAAAACACCCATGCCAAGGGTCAATACCAGCCAAGACAGAATATATGAGGCTCTGAGCTTCCTGGCAGCCTGGTCAAAAAGGGAAGTTTAAAGCCAATTAATCTCAGCTGGGCTCGGTGGCTCAGCCTGTAATCCCGTGCCTTGGGAGGCTGAGGTGAGTGGATTTCCTGAGCCCCCGGGTTCGAGACCTGCCTGGGCAACTTGGTGAGACCTCATCTCTACGATAAATCAAAAAATTAGTTGGGCGTGGTAGCACGTGCATGTAATTCCGGCTACTTGGAAGGCTGAGGCGGAAGGATCGCCGGAGCCCAACAGGTCGAGGCTGTAGTAGCCGGGAGCGGCCACTGTACTCCAGTCTGGGCGACAGAGTGAGACTCCAACTCAAAAAAAAAAAAAATAAGATGTGAAGTCATAAAGAAGGACAAACATATGGACTTCACAGCAACTTGGATGGATTTAGAGTCAATCATACTGACTGATCTATCAGAAACAAAGAACAGCATACCATATGTTCTCACTCATAAGTGGATCTTGAACAATCATCATAATACTATAAAAAAGGAATTAGTGGGAAACTGTTGGGGGGTGGTTGGGACCGACAGTTGAGGGAAGCTGCTAGGGGAGGAAGGGGCATACATCAACAAGGGTACCTGCATAATCAACATTTGTATACCTAACCCTGAATTGTACTCCACATCTTTATAATTAAAAAAAAAGAGCCTGGCTAAGCCTGTAATCCCACACTTTGGGAGGCCGAGGTGAGTGAGTTGCCTGAGCCTATGGGTTCGAGACCCTTCTGGGCAAGTTGCCGAGACCTCATCTCTACAATAAATTTAAAAAATTAGCTGGGTGTGGTATTACGCACGTGTAGTTCTAGCTACTTGGAAGGCTGAGGTGGAAGGATCGATGGAGTCCAGTGGGTCGAGGCTGCGGTGGCCAGGAGTGGCCACTGCACTCCAGTCTGGGCGACAGAGTGAGACTCCAACACACACACACAAAAAAGAATAAAAAATAAGGTATGAGTTGGGCATGGTGCTTCACGCCTGTAATCCCCCCACTTTGGGAGGCTGAGGTAAAAGGATTGCCTGAGCCCAGGGGTTAGAGACCAGCCTGGGCAACTTGGTGAGACCTCATCTCTATAATAAATCATAAAAATTGGCTGGGCGTGGTGGTGCACACCTGTACTTCTGGTTACTTGGAAGGCTGAGGCAGAAGGATCAGCTGAGCCCAGCAGGTTGAGGCTGTGGTGGCTGTGAGCATGTAACAGAGTGAGACTTTGACTAAAAACAAACAGTGTGTTAAGCTAGGGTTGGCAGCCTGAGCCTATAGTTCCAGCTACTTGGAAGCATGAGGTGGGGGGATCGCTTCAGCCCCAGAGGTCAAGATCAGCCTGGGTAACATAGTGAGACCCTGTCTAAAAAAAAAATGAGCCAGGCTTGGTGGCTAAGCCTGTCATCCTGCGCCTTGGGAGGCCAAGGTGAGTGGATTGCCTGAGCCCGTGGGTTTGAGACCCACCTGGGCAACTTGATGAGAACTCATCTCTACAATAAATCAAAACAATTAACCAAGTGTGATAGCGCGCGCCTGTAGTTCCACCTACTTGGAAGGCTGAGGCAGAAGGATCGCCGGAGCCCAGCAGGTTGAGGCTGTGGTGACCGGGAGCGTGCCACAGCCAGTCTGGGCGACAGAGTGAGACTTCAACTCAAAAATAAACCCAAAAAAGCAATTACTGAGCCTGGTGGCTCATGCCTGTAATCGTAGCATTTTGGGAGGCAGAGGCAAGAGGATTGCCTGAGCCCCGGGTTGAAGACCAGCCTGGGCAACTTGATGAGACCTTGTCTCTACAGTAAATAAAAAAACTAAGCTGGGCTCGGTGGCTCAGCCTGTAATCCCGCGCCTTTGGGAGACTGAGGTGAGTGGATTG